ACAGTGGTGAAGGTGGTGGGGGATAGCCTAGTGAACTAGACCAAATTCTTGCTTTGCAAAGAATGGTCTAGGCACCCTCCATTTGAACCTCCGCAGCTCCTATCAGGACTCTGGCTAGCCAATCACAGCGCTCTAGAGGGGTTTCAAACACATTAAGAGCTGTGATTGGTCCATAATGGTGGGCCAATCATAGTGCTCTATCTGCTTAGTAAACAAATCACAGAGCTGTATCCGCTTTGTGGGCCAAGCAGGGCACTCTATATGCCTGGTGGGTGGGATGATGCAACAGAGTGAAACAAGAGTATGTCACATTCATTGTCCAGTAGAATGCGGAGATCATTTGAAAGACAACGGTAGAACCCGCCCCACAATCGAGAGCCGTCAATGGAGCGTGGCCAGACTAAATAATACATTTATTTAGTCTGGCTTGCATGTGACACCAGAGTGGCTGAAGAAACCTGTGCAGTAGGGGGTGTGGGGGATGGGTGTTGCATTTCAAACCTTGCATAAAAGGAGTTAAGTTGTTCAGCCAGTTGTAGATCGTCAGCAGCATGTTGGGCCCTAGGCTTGTAGTTAGTGATTTGCCTGAGCCCTCTCCAGACAGAGGTGGACCCACCCACACTGCCACACCCACTAAAAAAACTGGAAGTAGGTCTGTCGGCGTTGATTTTCTGACGTTTAGAAGCTCTTCACGGGTGTAAGAGCACACTGACACACAATTTGCAGACAAAAACAAACAAAACACGACGCACGTTAGCACCAGGGCATCCTTCCTCGGCGCCATCTTGGTCGATCACAGTTATAATAAAGGATGAAATAGGTCTTTGCATGTAAAGAGTCTATCTTATATATTAGTTTCACTTTTTAAGTTGAGTTACTGACATAAAAGAACTTTTGCACTATTTTCTAATTTTTCTAATTTCACCTGTCATAATTTCACCTGTCATTTCATAAGTCATCTGATCTGTGGCGTATCACGTGCAACCATGGCAACTGAGAAGTCTAGAAAACACTCTTTCACTGAAACTGAAATAGACATGTTTGTGAGTGACGTAAGCCCCTTTCAGACAGGCCATGAAAACGGAAATGTTCTGGACTCTGTCCGTAAGACCTTTGTGTCTGAATACAAACATCCGGATAACGTTTTCCGTAATTTAACCAGACAAAGCCCCTAGTAGCAGGTCCGGACTTGTTACGGACAGGGTGGCTGCTTCAGACTGGTGAGGTAGAGTTCCGGACAGGGAGGAGGGGGAGGAGGAGGGGACCGGGGGACGCTGTGCGCACCTAGATAGCTCACTCCTGTAGCATGCGGCGAACCACGGCAGCTCGCCCCCTACGGTACCGCCTAGACGAGCGACGGAGCGCTTCACACTGCTTCAGTGATTCCTTTAACCATTGAACTTCATCATCCAGGTCTCTTATGCGTCTTCGAGTACGCAGAATTATGCTTAAGCGCCTCGTGAGTTTTATCTTGAGAGGCGCTATAGAAATGATATATTCTTATATTCTCGGTTCGGTTCGGTAACCAGGTTCGGTTCCGTGTTTGACATGTGTTTCCCTACCGCTCCGCATGGAAGCGGCAAAATACTGTTTAGCATATCATAACAAGCAGATTCTCAGTGGTTTGCTCATAAAACAGAAGACCTGCAGGTCTCTGTGAGTGAAAACATCCTAATACTGTTTCAGTTGTAAACATTGTGCTCCATCCCTGTGTTTGAACTCACAAGTTGCTTCTTGATGCCACAGATACAGTATGTGATGATTTAGATTGTTTCTTTATTTTACTCCAGAATAAGATTAAATGATTACAAAAGCAGCTCAATGTAGTTAAATTAGTCATTTAAATTATTCTAAAATGCTGCAGTGCGCACGCGCGCGCGCGTGTGTGTGTGTGTGTGTGTGTGTGTGTGTGTGTGTGTGTGTGTGTTACATATTGTAGCCTCCAGGAATGGTTAGTTTTCCACCTACAGTCTGACCTCTTCAGTATCTGGCCATTTGGAGACATAAGTCTTAACTGGTGCCTTTAATCTGCAAGAAAGATACTGTTGTTTGCCCAAGGTCCCTCGCAAGCTCCCCCTTATCTAAGACTGCTCTTCTTCACAGAACAAGATGGATGAACTTTCATAATTAAATCATGTAATGAAGTGAACAATATGAGAAACTAATCATATAATGAACTGGACAGTATGGTTAAATGAAATGTTTTGATTAATCTGTGCTTAAACTACTGAAGTTGAAATGAATATTATTATTACGCTGAAAGATTAATAAGGATGAAATGAAATATATGACCCATATATGTAATCAGCGCACTGACTAGACAAGACATACTCACCATATCTCCATGACGCAAGTTAAAATTAACTTAACTTAAATTTTTTTCTCAAAATAAAGAATAATTTTAAACAACTGAAACCTACAATCCTAGAAATACCTCGTCCAATCAATGTGCACGTCCTGTTCTCACTGATTGGATAGAAATCCCTCCATCAAACTGTGTGTGTGTGTGTGTGTTTGTGTGTGTGTGTGTGTGTGTGTGTGTGTGTGTGTGTGTGTGTGTGTGTGTGTGTGTGTGTGTGTGTGTGTGTGTGTGTGTGTGTGTGTGTGAGTGTGTGAGTGTGTGCCATCGACATATATATATTGGACAATTCGTGTCCATAGGCTCCAAATATAAGTTTTTGTGCCAAAATGGGAGGTTCCCACCAACCACCATTTTGTCCGTGTCACAGGTTCCGTCAAGTCCAGACAATTCCAAAAAATGGAAAAGAGGTGGAGCTGAGGGTGGGGCTGTAAGGCTGGGATCAAATGATGACACCCGTCGAACTGAAGCGATGTAGCTACAAGCTAACCCAAAGCTAACGCGGAGGTGGGAGCTAAGCTAACGGAGGTAGCTACCTAGCTACAACCGGAGTTAACTGTGCACAACACTGGAGCTTCTGAGTCAGAGATACGCCTGGCTGACCGCTGGGTAAAACCAGGTAGAACACAGAGGTCTCCCGAGAGCTCCACAAGCCGGCAGCCGTGCAGCAGACAGGCGCCGCTGCAGTCAGAGATGCACCGAGCTGCTGCTGGGAAGAACTGGGTGGAACACAGAGGTCTCCAGAGAGCTCCACAAGCCAACAGCTGTGCAGCAGACAGGCGCCGCTGCGATCAGAGATGCGTTGAGCTACGGGGAGGGGACCATATCGACAGTCGGAACCCAGCTCCACCAAAATGTTATATTTCAGCCCACGATACATGGCCCCATTCATTCTGTCCTTAACACTGATCAGTCGTCCTGTCCCCTTAGCAGAAAAACAGCCCTAAAGCATGATGTTCCCACCCCTGTGCTTCACAGTTGGTAGGGTGCTCTTGGGATGCAACTCAGTATTCTTCTTCCTTCAAACACGACAAGTTGAGTTTATACCAAAAAGTTCTACTTTGGTTTCATCTGACCACACGACATTCTCCCAATCCTCTGCTGTATCATCCATGTGCTCTCTGGCAAACTTCAGACGGGCCTGGACATGCACTGGCTTCAGCAGCGGAACACGTCTGGCACTGCAGGATTTGATTCCCTGCCGTTGTAGTGTGTTACTGATGGTGACCTTTGTTACTGTGATCCCAGCTCTCTGCAGGTCATTCACCAGGTCCCCCCGTGTGGTTCTGGGATTCTTGCTCACCGTTCTCATGATCATTTTGACCCCATGGGATGAGATCTTGCGTGGAGCCCCAGATCGAGGGAGATTATCAGTGGTCTTGTATGTCTTCCATTTCTGATAATTGCTCCCACAGTTGATTTTTTCACACCAAGCTGCTTGCCTATTGTAGATTCACTCTTCCCAGTCTGGTGCAGGTCTACAATTCTTTTCCTGGTGTCCTTCGAAAGCTCTTTGGTCTTGGCCATAGTGGAGTTTGGAGTCTGACTGTTTGAGGCTGTGGACAGGTGTCTTTTATACCGATAATGAGTTCAAACAGGTGCCATTAATACAGGTAACGAGTGGAGGACAGAAAAGCTTCTTAAAGAAGACATTACAGGTCTGTGAGAGCCAGAGATTTTCCTTGTTTGAAGTGACCAAATACTTATTTTCCACCCTGATTTACAAATAAATTCTTTAAAAATCCTGCCATGTGAATTCATGGATTTTTTTTCACATTCTGTCTCTCACAGTTGAAGTGTACCTATGATGTAAATTACTGACCTCTGTCATCATTTTAAGTGGGAGAACTTGCACAATCGGTGGCTGACTAAATACTTTTTTGCCCCACTGAATGAGCAGCTACTCATTATGGCTAAAAAAGAAAAGATTGTGTGAAAATGGGCTGCAGCCCAAACACTGCTATATAAAGTTGAACCAAAACAAAGACAAACAAGGTTGATTACTTGAAGATGTTGCAGGACATGTTTAAACCTTTTAGCTGTTTAGCTATTTATTCCTGCAGAGGCAGTCTGAGTTGGTGTAAACAGCCTGTGTGTAAATACATATAGGTCAGCTAATAGCTGTTGGGAAATAGCACAGGTAGCATGCTAAGTGTTCGGTTTTCCTCCGGATATTATGGTGCTTCTGCTGAAACATTTTAGTCTGGATGTGAGTTCTTAGGTAGAAACCACCATGTTTACAGACATTCAAGGACACCGTCTCATGTGTTTGGACCTCTGTGCTCATTCTAGTGTTTGTAAAAGACCTTTTTGGTGGTGACTGGAGCCATTCCAAAGAGGTCTGAATAAAGCAACTGGACTTCTTTGGTTTCTTGAAGATGTTTCGCTTCTCATCCGAGGAGCTTTGTCAATTTGTCAATCCTCTGAAGAGCGTTAACTCTCTGGCTTGTCAAAGCTCCTCGGATGAGAAATGTTAGGGTTGCCTTCATTCAAACCTCTTTGGATTACCATGACCTAGATGACTGAGAAACTTCACCAGCAGATTGGAGCCAAATTGGTGAATCTGTCCATGATCAGAGAAAATCACAAAATTGGTGAAAAAAAATAAATAAATAAGCAAAGAGACTGATGCTCTTTGTACCTTCTTTGGTTTCCTTGCTTTCATCTTCATCTCGCTGCTCAGACTCTGGGCCTGGCTTTGCCTCCATCATCTCTTCATCTTCCTCTTCCTCCTCTACTGGAGAAAGAAACAAGCAAATTGCCCTCATGTTAATCAACAGCTGTTCCAATTTTCCCCGACCTCCCTCGGAGTGCCTCCTCCACCCCCTCCTTCTTAACAAAATAATTATTCCCAGACATGCACCAGTACACCTGACTAGCATTCAGTCCAAATTGGTTGCATTTACACCCAGAAAGATATCTGTGTGTGTTTCTGGTTTAGAAAATACACAATTAAAGAAAAACTGCTTTTGAGTTTCACTCTTAGTGATGTGGCGGGGGTTTGGAGAAAGTAAATCTGTTTATGATCTCTGCCAGCGGCCATTTTGGTCACACACAGGCTGCAGGAAATCTAAGTTCTGCCTGCTTTCCTCTCTCTCTTTCACCTTTGACCCCAAGAATAAAGATCCTGTGGTGTGTGTGTGTAAATGGGGATTCCCTCCGCATTCACTCCAATCAGGCTCTGCAATTACACTTGGCTCTTCTGAATTAATTGTGACGTGTGTGTGTGTGTGTGTGTGTGTGTGTGTGTGTTTCGAGTTCAAGTATGAAGGGTTACTGTCAACACAGACACCTGCTTGTCCATTACTGCTGCCCCAGCCCTCAGGGCTATGTGTTGGTAACCCTCGCCAACCTTTCCGCTGTTCAGGTTTCCTCTCAAACAGATGCAGAAAGTTTGGGGGGGGGTTGGGGCTCTGAAGACCTCTTAACACCCTGACACTGTGATCAAACACCTGCGGTCTGCGCACACACACTACACACACACACACGCACACACAATCTGCCTTTCTCTCCGAACCAAACAGGGGCCCTTGCCCGCGGTGCCAGGGGTGGTGAGGGGTTAACTGGCAGGGTCAAGCTGACAACAGTTGCTCAGTCCAGTGGGAGGAAGTGACTACATCACGCTCTCACAAATGTCATGTCTCGCTCCCTCCCTCCCTCATATACACACACGCACACACACGCACGCACGCACACAGACACACAGTTTGGAGTGTGTTTAACTCAGCTGGAGTATGGCCCGGGGCACTGTTAAAACCCACTTGCTCGAGGGCCACTCTCACACCGGATGAACTGTCCATTTATCACTAAGCTTTTGATAAACTCACTGCTTCTTTTAAAGCTGCAACTGCTGATCGCTTGTCTGAATTCATCTTTAAGATAATAAATCCTTAACCCAATCATGATATTAGGTTTCAGAGTACATCCTGGTCTGTGTTTTTTATCTATATGTTTTAATTTCTCCGTTCAGCATGGCATGCTTGATGCATGACTTTAATTTTCATTCTATGTCTACATAATAAATGACTGCTAAATCAAACACATTGAGTTAAGGCGCTGTCCAAGTTGGTGGTTTACAGTGAGCAGAAAGGATCCAAACACCAGTGACCCACCAGTTTGGAGCAGAGGCCAGAGAGAAAGAGACGGGCAGACGGCCCAGAACAGGGAAACCCTCATCTCCTGCTTTTTACTTTTTTTTTTAAATCAACCCCTTAGAGGCTTTATCCCTCTCCACTGTAATGTACCCATACACTTTATAGTACGTACAAACGCTTCAGAAAAACAGTAACATGCTTAACGTGCAACTGTTAGTCCATTTTATTTGTTTGACCTGAAGTGACTGGTCCGGCGGTCGGAATGTGTGGCGATGGGGATGGGAGGAGCGTGAAGAGAGGAGAGAGACCACATTGAGGAGCGGTCAAACTGTCAGCCTGTGGGACCACAGGAGTCTAGAGCAAAGGAGCAATGATTCATGGTTTATGGGTTACCTCACCGAGGGGAGACGGTCCAATTCCCGTATGAAGATACTGCTGATGTCTTTGCCAACGGCCATGCATCAAGCTGTTCTGTCAAAGTCCCACACCAAAAATATCCCCGCTATTTCCTTTTAGTGGAAGCTTTCAGATATACTTTTTTGAGTATTCAGTGCAAAAAAATAGGTCATAGCAAATGATGCTGGAAAAAAAGACAAATAAAAAATGTATGTAAAGTGTTCAAGCAAAGACACAGAGAGGCCCTGCATGATTTTCTAAGGCGCTGTAAAAGAAGCAGCAAAAGGAAATCATATGAGACAATCTCACAGCAGGACAGTGTCTGCCAGCTACCCTGGAAGTATCTACACACATACTTTCTACACCTCATTCCAGTCACAAGATGCTTTCTCCTTCTACCTGCCGCTTAATACCTCTCCTCGCTGCTGGACAGCCGTTTAACTGGTATACTCCCCCTCAACGCAGGCGGGGGTTCACCTTGATGAAACTCCACTTGGGGGCTCCTGTTTTGGCCAGCGACATGCTTGGGGTAATGATATCCTCGGTACCACCGAGCCTCTGCATCTCACTGCTTCAATCTTCCCCCAGCTGCTTACTCAGGCTGACCGGCCTCAGCCGGTTCCCAAAAGCCCAGCAGGTATGTAGACACGGTGTGGACCAGATGTATGGCACATACACACAAATACAGATGAGTAAAAGAGTGAATGCAGACAGAACTTCACAACCTACACACACATGCATGCATGAATCTGTTGTGCGTGAATAGCTCGTGTGATTTTCATTACACTGTTCTGGTCAATATAACAGTGAAACATTCATTGCTACAAATGTTGCAACTAAAACATGGAAAACGTGCTCTTTACTCTGAATCTGGGGAAACGCGGCCATAGCTATAATAATCATGCTGATTTTTGACCCAATTCCCACTGTGTGTGGTGTGTTAGTGGCATGACGTCGTGTGCAAAAAGTCAATATGTGAATTGATGATCTGGCCACGACCAAAAGATAGAGTTTGGACGTGGGGCAGAATTTACAGTTGCCTTTCAAACTGTGTCCACATGCTATTGGACAACGAACAATGTGACATACTTACCTCTATGGATGTCAGTCAATGAGGCAGTCCAACATACACTGTCGAAGAAGACACTAATACATCCTTTTTCTGAATCTGATACTGAATCTGAGTGGGCCATGTTCCGTACTTCCATTGTCGAGGCAGCCGCTGGGTCGTCGGTGCCTGTCGTGGTGGCAAACCCCGAACCCGCTGGTGGACATCGATGAGTAGGGATGCTGTCAAGTTAAAGAAAGAGTCCTGTCGGGTCTTTTTGGTCTGTGGGACTCCAGAGAAAACTGATGGGTACCAGGAGGCCAAGCAGAATGTGGCTCGGGTGGTCACAGAGGCAAAACCTGGGCATGGGAGGAGTTTGGTGAGACCATCGAGCAAGACTTCCATGCGGCTTTGAGGAGATTCTGGTCCACCATCCAGCACCTCAGAAGGGGAAAGAAGTGCGTTACAACACTGTTTATAGTGTGCTGCTGACCTCTACTCAGGACACTGTGGATGGGCGGAGTACTTCGAAGACCTCCTCAATCCCACCGGCACATCTTCGAGTGAGGAAACAGAAACTGGGTTGGGTTCTCCAATCTCTTGTGCTGAGGTCACTGAGGTGGTCATAAAGCTCCTTGGTGGCAAAGTTCCGGGGGTGGATGAGATCTGCCCAGAGTTCCATAAGATGTTGTAGGGTTGTGTTGGCTGATGCGCCTATGCAATATCACATGGACATCGGGGGCAGTTACACTGAATTGGCAGACTGGGGTGGTGGTCCCCCTATTTAAAATGGGGAACCTCAGGATGTGTTCCAACTACGGGGGGGATCACAGTCCTGAACCTCCCTGGTAAAGTCTATTCAGGGGATCTGGAGAGGAGGGTCCGGTGGATTGTTGAACCTCGGATTCAGGAGAAGCAATGTGGTTTTCATCCTGGCCATGGAACACTGGACCAGTTCTATACCCTTAGTTTGGGAGTTTGCTCAACCAATCTCCATGTGCTTTGTGTATTTGGGGAAGGCGTTCAACCACGTACCTCAGGGGGCCCTTTGGTGGTCACTTCGGGAGTATGGGGTACCAGGCCCTCTGATACAGGCTGTTAGTTCTTATATGACCAGTGTCAGAGCTTGGTCTGCATTGCCAGCAGTAAGTCGGGCTTGTTTCCAGTGACAGTTGGACCCCGTCAAAGCTGCACTTTGTCACCAATTCTGTTCATAACTTTTATGGACAGGATTTCTAGGCGCAGCCAAGGTGCTGAGGTAGGGATGGACAATATAATGGCGTCAATTTCGGTATCGGCCAATTTTAGTAATTTTTTAACATATCGGTCCGATAAAAAAAAACTGGGCCGATATTAACAACAATATTTTTTCTATTTTGTCTCCATTTGTTTATCTGTTTCAGAGGATGAGGGGGGTGATGTGTAATTGTTTAGTCATGTGAACAGTGAATGTAATCATCTCAGAAGTGTAAATATGTGCGTTGTGTGTATATAATAATGTAAATTCAGCTTTAATAATTTTCATTCTATACAAAATCTGCTGATTTTAGAAGCATTAATGTCAGTATATCGGTATCTGCAAATATCGGTTATAGGCCATAACAGTGATCGGCCCAAAAATTTCATATCGGTGCATCATTATTTTGAGGGGATCAGTTTTGGTGGCTTAAAGATTGAGTCTCTGCTTTTTGCAAATCATGTGGTCCTGTTGGCTTCATCAGAGCGTGATCTCCAACTCTCACTGCAGCAGTTCACACCCGAATGTGAAGCAGCTGGGACGAGAGTAGCCCTCTAAATTCAAGACCACGGTCTTGATTCGGAAATAGGTAGAATGCTTTCCCTAGGTCAGGGATGAGGTTCTGCCCTAAGTGGAGGACTTTAAGTATCTTGGGGTCTTGTTCATGAGTGAGGGAAAGATGGAACACGAGATTGACAGGCGGATTGGTGCTACAACTGCAGTAATGTGGGCATTGTACCAATCTGTCGTGGTGAAGAGAGAGCCGAGCCAGAAGGCAAAGCACTCGATTTACTGGTCAATCTACATTCCTACCCTCACCTATGGTCATGAGCTTTGGGTAGTGACCGAAATAATTAATTTTCTCCGCAGGGTGTCTGGGCTTTCCCTTAGAGAAGGGGTGAGAAGCTCAGTAATCTGGAAGGGGATCGGAGTTGACCCGCTGCTCCTCCACATCGAGAGGA